TTTAATATGTATATAATTTAATATTAATAGAGGGTAGGTGTCCTACCACCCATTAAGTAAAAAATATTTATTTTTATGTATTTAATTCTCAGCTTACAATAAAATATCATTATTATTTGTTTACATACTGTGTATATTTTAATATGATCTATTAATAATAAGAACATTCTGTACAACAAGTAAATAAAATTAATTTTATTATAAATTCTGTAATTATTTAAAGCTTATTGAAAGCTATACAATTATCTAGATTGTAAATGTTTCAATGTCAATTAGGTGTAGGTAGACCAAGATATTCTAGTGTAATTTTGAAATATATGGTAATAGTTACAAATTATAATACTGTATAAAAAATCATTATTTCATAGGGTTTTTATATTTATTCAGCATTTATTTGGCTTATATAGCAAAATATGAAGCATTTCCGATATTTTCCACTCAAATATTTGCTATAATTTTTATAATCGGTATATATAATATGTATAATTATGAATTTAAATAAATAGTATACACATAACACAATAAAACTTACAATCTATATCAATCATAGGATTCATTATGTAGCGTATTATTTATCTAGATACAATAGCATCTATTATTATATTTCTAGAAAACTGTCACATTTTGTTAGTATGATATACTAAAGTAATGCAATTATTACAATAACAGTAAATATATAATAATTGAATGTGACATATAGATGTAACCTGTATGTGCACAGTATTTGTTCAGGGTATCCCTGTCTTGAACTTGTGTAGGTTTTATATAATGTATTAATAAAATAAAAAATCGCAGAATATTCTTGACTAAAATCAATTATTTTAGCACTTAATCATATTTAATTTAAATTAATTAATAAGTTATAACTTATAAGATATACATCTAGCACATTTATGGGTCGGATCATTATTGAACTGATTATCAGTATATGACATATCATTGATGATATTTTAATACAATATTCATGTATTCATAAATTATAAGGAAAACTATAAATAAAATTATATTTTCAATGAAAATGTCCAGACATTTGACTAAATAGTCTGATATGTGTTTATATTATCAACTTTATAATAACATTTTCAAGTATTAAAAGCATTTGTTTTTTATGCAGAGGTTTAATGTATATTCAAATAAAAATAATTTTGTTGCTAACTATAGAAAGTGTCAAAATAATTATTATACACATATAATTATATTAATAATAAAATCTTTTACCTAAAAATTGTATCACTTTAACAATGTCCAAGAACATCATTTTTAAAATATATTTTGTTTTTAACAAGCACAACAATTAATATTTATAACAGTTACTTATACACTAACTAAGAATTTTTAAATAATTATTATATAAACAGATTTTAAATCAACATTTTATAATAAACTTATTTACATAAACTTAATACTATATAATTAATTATGTACACCCGGTTACTAGTACTATACTAGTTGAATCTCTGTACTTAGCAAACATTTAATTGATAAATACAATACACTTGCACCTTTGAATACATTATATAAATTAAGTTTATAATGTCTTGGTGCTAATTATGCAATTTTGTCATATATTTTTTGTGATTTATAAATACTACTGTATTATAATACTATACAGTAGTGTATTACATGAACTCAAATTACAAAAATAAAATAATTGTTTTAAATAACTCCCACATAAAAACATGCATGAATTAAAAATACAAAACATAAAAACTTTTACCTAATTTTTGTTTCACTTTAATCACGTCCAATAAATTCATTTTCAACAAAAGTTTTGTAAAATCAAAATTAATGCACAAAAATAGTTGATATTTAACACAGCATTCACTTTACATACGATAAAATCATTGTCTCAATAAATCATATATAAAACAAAAAACTATTTACTATACAAAAAATTCACTCAATTTTTAATCACTATTAAAATCAAATGAAAACAAAAAACACAACAAAAGTTGTCCACAAAAATCGCATCAATATCTCCACAAAAGTCAGTCAAACAGGCATTTATTGCCAAAAAACTTTAGCCTAACTTTCCTTCGCGATAGTCTACTCGAGAAAAACTACCGGAGCTCTCTACTGACAAATACCGGTGCCGTGAACCGTATGGTCGTGGCGTCCGATAGGGGTATGAGTCGGTAGGATGTGTACAGACAGGCCATGGATACGGTGCCTAATGTGCACCTGTATGTCATTGTGTGTGTGGAGAGGGGTTTTTATTTAGTTAGCAATTTGTGATAATTTAAAGGATTTACAGAATATTCTGTAGACATACCTTAAGAATAAATAGATACGCTCATTTTTGTGACCAAGGTAGTCCACTTTCTGGTAGAGCATTACCGATAGGTATATCACTGACTGTATAATTGCGCTATAAATATGTAAAAGTAATTTTATTAATTTTATAAAGTAATAGAAAGTTTAATCCAAATAATAAACTAGCCTAAATTAATTATTAATATGAAAATGAGTATTTGTTGCGGGTACTTCATTAATTAATTTAGATATTTAAATGTTTTTAAATTAAAAAGTTTATGGCGAACGGAACTACCCCATTAATTAATTATAATCAAAATTATAAATATAATATAATTTTCAATAAATTAATTCATTACAGTCTTTATTCAATGTAAATACAATAATAAATTTAAAATCTAATCCACTAACACCAAATTTAAATTTTATAATTTATCTGAACTTTAAATTAATTATTTATAATTTCTTAATTTATTATATTTAGATCAATAATTTCGGGGTCCTATAATGAATACATTTTATTGTATTTTCAGATCATACAGTATAATACTTGGATAATAAATGTTTTACTAAACTATTTTTTATTGACCTTTTGGGACACTTTTTAAACATTATATAAAGTGAACTCTAATTTTAAAACAAAATTAATGTCACAAACATAAACAAAACATTTGATTGTGTCACACAAACTCAGCAAGGTTAAAGTAATATCTACGCTATCATTAAGGTTATAAAAATGTCTCACTTATATAACACACATTTTGGGCCATAAAAGTAAAATTTAAAAGTCGTGTCAAAAATCTATTGATTATAAAAGGAGTCAAACAGATTATAAATGAATTATCGGTTAAAACCTATTTTTGCGATAAATTAATTTAATTAGAAAACAAAATAATTAAAACAATTATTATTATTATTAGAAAATTATATAAAAGACAATCTGATTGTAAAGTTGTACAGTATTTAAAGGCCTATTAGTCTCGGTCTGCCTATTAGTGTAGGTGCGGGCAGTCAGTCGTATGACATGTTTTCCCCTTTTGTCTAACATTGTATGAAGTTATGTGATGAGTGAATAGGTATTAAATCATAAAATACATTTACTATAATAGATTATTAATATGAATTAAACTTATTTTTATTTAAATGAGAAATTAAATGTAAATATACTTTTGTAGTCTTATATTAATTTCAATATTAAATATTTACCGCAAATAAAACTTTTACTATTAAAATTTTTATGTTTAGTAATACAATAGTGTAATTATTAATTTCCACAGGCAACATAATGAAAGTTAAATAAAAGTAATTTTAAATTATTAAAATGTACGTAGTATAGTATTAAAGTTAATTTTATATTTAATTTAAATATTTAATTATATTTAAGTTTATTTCACGCAAAATTTAATTTAATGTAAAATTTAATTAAATATACCGGCATTTAAAAATATTTAAAATATGTGTAACTTAATTAACGCTAACATGTGCTAATAAAAATTAAATATACCGATTATGCTAGTAATATAATTTTTATAATAATTTATACACAGTATAATATGATATACACTATGTACCACAAATATTATATCTTAAATAAACTACTGATAATATTTAACTCCTGGATAATGTACTAGCACATAAGATAATAGTTTATCATACTGTATAAAACTAACATTTATTTATAATACTAATCTAATACTTTTATAAAGTGATTACAAATATCACCCAAAAAATAATTAAACAAAAATTTTAACTCAATTTCTCTAAATCCAAGTATTATTTTTGCAAACATACTATACATATAAGGAAAACATTACATAATAAGTCATAAATAAGTCAATCATTTAAATGCCATTTAATAGCAATTACTAAATAATAGCCAATAAATAAGGAAATGAGAGGACGGTTAGCAACAGGGATGTCATAACAAATCTCTTTCACACATACCTAATGGTAAGCACTTCCAGCGCGTGGACATCATCTGACAGTTTAATACATAAGCCGGCGGTCGACCAGAAAATCACAGAAATGATGGCGCATATGATACCGGCGCCCGGTATGGCACGGATGTCCAACTTTTTCCGAGACATTACTAGTAGTTTGATGGATAGGTAACAAAATAATAGGTTAGACATCGCCGACATAGAGTGGGTTTCAAACTTTTTAAGCCTATTTAATATATACTGTCTAAACATCCATGTACTGTATATTAAAAAAGTTTTGAATGTCAAATAAATTGCTAGTTTAAATAAGTTTACACACAAAGGCGTTATTTAAGTATTTATGCGATCGTTACATAAGCAGGGTAACGGTATGATTGACAATATTTGCACTGCAATTATTGGCAATAATATACGACATTCAATGTCTACGCACGCAATGCTATTGTATTTTAATAGACAAATATTTATCATACTGTACAGTAAATATTAATAATATTAACTAATATTAACATATTATGTATTTTTATTTTTTCAATTTCACATTATAGACTGAAATCTAATCCAATTTAATCAGACAATGTTTACTACATTCATAGAAATCCTTTGATGCCATTCCCATATGGGTCCCCAATTTGCTTATATTAATAATATTATATTTATTTTTACTTAAAATTTTTAGTACTAATAAAATAGCGATAAATGAAATACGAGTACCAAATAAATTAGTTGCACAAATAGCTAGCAATTTATTTTTTGATGGGAAAAGTGACTAATTTCCTGCCCTTCCCGTACGTAACCCCTCGACCACCTCACGTGTATTATATAATATTATGTTAAAATAATATTGATATATTTAATACTATACTAGTAACCCTTTCATAATCAAGTTTTTTTAATTATTTAAATAATTTGATATGTATATAGTTTAATATGTATA